GATATGTTGACGGACACGATCAACTGTGGAGAATAAATCCTACGGTAATAGCGACGATCAACTGTATTTCCTTCCTTAGCACAGATCTTAAATAGGCTTGATAGCAAACAATTCTGATCACAAAATTGTTTCAAAGCATCGATATGGATGGTTGCGAAAAGAGAATGACGAATTGCAGATCAACCGTCAGATGAATTCCATGAATGTTTGAAGATCATGAAAGCTCGAATGTATTAGAAACAGATTTGCTTCACGGGTTCTCTATCGTACAAAGTTAATGGAATAGCCTTCAGAGTCCGGATTCTTTTGCACCTTGAAATTTTCTGTGGACAATCCGAATGGTTTCAGGACCATGTTTCCCAGCTGTTTCAACTGATCAAACATTTGTTCTTTCATTTTTTCTTGCTGTTCCTTGATGCGATCCGGCAAGGTCTGTGGAGAAGGTAAAAGACAGTAACATCAGACAAAAACATTTCACTAGATTAAATAGTTCATCAAAAGACAAGCTGCTGCAACTGTACACAACAGAGCAAAAGATTTGTGAGAATGTCACAAATAATGGCAATACTACTAGTAAAATGTTGAAGTGTTTTGTTAGCATTCTAAACCATGTGCATTTTTGATATACCTGATCGTTTTTGGTCCTCCCCGATTTGGGGCGGAGTTCACGCACAGGCAACGCCTACGACCTGAGCACCATTGGTTTCGGCACTGATCCATAGCCCTCATTTTCTACCGAACGACACTAGTCCATCCCTCAGCCTCCACCTGGACAATCTGAGGGGGCAAACCAATGTCGCGGTCAACTTCTTCACGCGTGTACGCAAAAATGCAAGAACTGATCTCTGTATTGTTTCTTTCAATCATATCCAGAAATCGCAAATAGCGATTGCTACATCTCCCAGCTACTTGAGGGGGGATTGGCTGTAAACACTTAGATTGACGGATGCTTATCTGTACTTAATACACCTTGCGGAACGTCGAAGTTGCCTACAGGAGGTCACCAGAGGCCAGTTGAGCCTTGGAGACAGCGATAACTGAACCATGAACGCGATAGAATATCCTCGAAGCGGATGACCCAGGTATGAGTAATGCATAGAAAAAACAATTTAGTTTGTGGTACTGCAGACGCACTCCTTAGAAAGAAACCAACGTTGTGGCGGTGGCACAAAAACCTCGGATTTAAAAAAACGCAATCTAGTTTTGCTATGTATTAAGCTATCTCGGCTGCCACACCAAAACTAGTTGGTATTCTACTATCAATGTAAACAAAGCGGTCGACTAATTCCAAATGAACATCAGCAACGACAATGGTCAGTCCTGAAGAAACCTGCTGCATGCGAGTGAAGTTAAGTGAATGCCATGCCGAGTCACTTCAATCACCAGATCATTCAACAAGGTTTGCATCGCTTAGGCACTTTTGGCGAAGATGAAGGAGAGGATTGAGCAAGACGATATCATCGACACAGTCCAGAGCTGCAATTACATTCCCTGACAGGAGCTTTACCGCAGTTGATTTTAGGCCGGGGAGGGAATTTTGTACGATATCGTCTATCACAAGAAAAAATAGAAAGAGTGTAGGATAGCGGTATTAAGTCCAACCGGTATCAAAATGACGACGATAATTGGTTCGATGTTCTGATTCCGCCGGAGTTGTGCTGCCACATCAATTTGAGAACAGAAACGTAGTTCCCGGGTATTTTATTCACCAAAAATCGACGTTATAACACTGACCTGAGTCAAAGGCCACTCAGATCTCGAGAAACACTATGATGATTGGCCAGTGAAGAGCGCGACGTCGTCAACGGATGGAGAAAATTCGGGCAGTACATAGGTAACCATGAAAAGCAACCGTTTCTTCATATTGTTAATGATCCTCAGCAGTGAGGCTAATAATAATAATAATAATAAGTCCACACGAAAAATATGTTTACTTAGCTTCCTTTACTCCGGTTGTCTTCCTAATTTCACACCTGGTTTCACAAATCGTTGGAAATCATCTATAATTTCCGTGACATTGGTGGATCGGGAAGTTGAGCTTTTTCCATCCACACACCCAACAAACACCTAGGTGTGTTGTTTCCACTGAGAATGTGTGCATAAGTAACTCTCTTCATGTCTTGTGCATTTTATTCGCCAAGGCATTTACGGGGAAAATCCTCGATATTGTCTTCTCATGGTGCAGTCAATAGAACAAATACAACTCGCTATTTGGCATTTCAACTGACAATATCAAACGTTAACAGTTAGAGCCAGGTGAATAGACATCTAAAATTTGGATACTGGCCTTTCTTACACAAGACCTAAGAAGCAGTCCCATACCACTTAGAACATGATGGTTGCCTACTTGAGTGGAAAACAAGAGTGTGACCTGAGACCCAGATTGTATAACTAAATACTCTGGACTTAGATACATGTGAATACGTGGGAGATGGGGTGAGGAGATTCAAAGCAAACAACAAAACACATACATTGAAGAAAAAGACTGCCATCACCTTTCACATCAGAAGCCTGCTGCTTGTATCGATACCGTGAAGAAAACGGAGACGTCACATAAACACTAAACTCAAATACCATAGGTGATTTAGTGAAACCACATCTATTCGACCAGAGATAAATCATAACTTAGCAACACTAATTTGATCTTGTATCTTGCGTGAATTCCATGAAGAACGATATAAACTATCTGTCACATATGGTGCAGACGGACTGGGGTCGAGGTAACAATGAAACCACAAAATCATATTATGGCGAAAGATTTGGCAAAACAAAGTGCTTAGGTCCAGGGAATCCCTACACAATACCTTTCCATGGCGGCTTCTTCCACCAAAATGAAAGGGGCTATAGCGGGATAGATGAACCACCGGTACTTCGCCTACTGGAATCGCCTAAACATCCTGCTTCCAAATCAACATTGAACAGGCGCATAAACCATATCAAGTCAAGGAATGGCTTTATACACCCCGAGAGGTGGATATTCAACAACCACATAACCATAGTGTGTCAACAAAAAGTGGAAAAAAACCGCAGTATGATACAGCAATTAAAGGACGCGAAAAAGGACAGCAGCATCAAAATCAATGGCATACCCGAGTGTTTAGAATGGATTTAGTTTAACGTTTGGCGCGGATTTCCTGCAACGAGTTCATGGTTTGTTAGAAATCTGGCGAGTTAAGGGACAATAGACCGCCTGTAAGCTTCAGTGCGTGTCTTTAAAAGTTTGTGAGTGGAACGCGTGGATGAGTGAGAAAGGCACTGACTGAAGGCGGAATAAAGAGGATGAGAGGTATCAGATAAAATCTTGCTAGAGAATGTTTACAGGACTTGATGTGATGTGTCACCACATACTGTACTAGATGTTCCATGCCTTAAGAGTTCTGGTAGTAGTCTCAGGTTTCATTGTGTCGAGGTGTATTGGGCACATTAAACGTCTGACTCCGTTCGAATGACGTATGATTCAATGAACCGGACACCCATCACCCATGGGTTGCGGTTATCAGGTGAACCGAATGTTTAGTTACCTTGACCTGGGCACCTAGGCGGTACTCCGGCAAAGAGCGAATCATGGAGTGATTTCTTTGTTGAGAAACTTCCAAAAGCCTCAGTATGGTCGGGGGTGGGTGTCTAGGGTTGCGGCTAATCACCCTTCCTTTGCACCTCGCGAAATGCTCCTATATGACCAAGTGTTAAAAAAGCCTCTGCTGAGGAAGCCCTGCTCACTGCCTTCCCGTGGCGGAGATGTTTTCCCACCGAAGTGAGAGAACGAAAAGTCGACACCCCGGACTATAACAGGGTCGGTGAACCAGTGGCAGTTTACTTAAGGAAGTCAGCTAAAACCCCTGATTCCAAACCAACATGGAAGAGGTGTACGAACCACACACACACCTTCCTGGTTGTGGCATCGTTCACCGGCTCGATTGGGCAGCTTGAACGTTTGACCCTATCCAAAGGGCGTATGATTCGAAAAACTGGACACCGGTCCCCCAATGGATTGCGGTTTTTGCACACCACCCCGCTGCCTTGCGGGTCAGACTTTGACTAGCCAAAGACTCCGGTTGTGGATTCCTCAAGAAAATTCACCCGCCTTAGCCTGGGCAACCTGGCAGTATTCCGCCCACAAGCAAATCATGGAATATTTTTCTTTTTTCATAAAGATCCGTCTACCATGATTTGTTTGGAACACAGCCTGGATTCAGATGCGTAAAAAAATGGAGTGATTTCGTTGTTCAAATTTCAAATTTTTATTATAGGTAAATTACAAAGTTGATGCTTATTTAATCCTATAGGATCGATTGATAGTACAATTGAATAGCAAATTCTGATGTTCATTTAAGGGTACTGAAAAGTTTGGTATTTAAATGTTTCATCCAGTCGTGACTTGAATGAATCGATGGTTAGTGTACAAACAACTTGAGGTGGAAGAGAGTTCCGGATGTTACAAACTCTAAGGCTGGAAGAGTGACGCCTGCAGTCTAGCCGACTCTTTTGGAGCAAAAGTTTAAGCGGTTGTCCTCGGAGGGGACTATTCCCGGATAGTTGTAGTAGAGTACTAAACGGGTGGTTAGTTGGATGCAGTATTTGATAAACGAGGATCATGTCTCCCCGTATTCGACGGTATTCAGACGAATAGAGTCTGAGAATTTGCAGCCTTTCACCGTAGATCT